TTGAACCCTCGCTACATTTTGCTAAGAATTACTGCTAGCACTGTACAAAGAAGGACAGTTTATTGTTCCGTGGCCAGAAAAATAAACATTCCTTGCATTGATAAATGATTATATTGTCTGCTCGGTGGACGGACAGATCAAATAATTGTAATATTGATTCTGCTACAGTTAATTCGAAGATATAATCTAAATATTTATTATGAATCATAACCAGTTATAATTTGTCATAAATATTCCCCTTTTTAGAGCTAATAATAATAATAAAAACATTACAATTGTGACAGTGCGGACTCAGACGAAGGCCGCAAGGGTTTAGGATACCATTTGGGACAGGGCCTCAGATGCATAAGCCACACTAAACTGGAAATTTGTTGCAAAGGCAAAACTCTACATCAAACTGGCTAACTTCTTACAGGGGTTCCAGGAACCTACTGTACCTAACAGTCCAGCAGGAAATAAAAGCTGTGTTTACAAGTTCCAGGACTGCAACAATGAGAGCTTCGTAGGAGCAACTACTAAATGCTGCATTAAAAAAAAAAGTTTGTGGAGTTCACAGTTTAAACTCTTTAAAAGACATTCAAATGTTTTGTTTAAGTTATTTAAATTAAAATTTAAAATAGACGTGTTTACATTTACTGTACCCACGGTATACAGGAAACGTATAATTTTCCAAGCTTGGCCAACCTTTAGGATCCCCAAGTGATTTAATTTCACTAGTCCTCTCACTTCTATAATGGAAGATCAGGTGAAGTACCTCACTGAGAAGGGAATATCTGCACCATATGCAGGTAAACAAGTAAAAACTTGATTTATGATGCATAATTTGTACAGGCAAGTAGATGAACCCAGAATATAAATGCAATGTGTAAAGTTTGATATGAAATGTTTTCCCATAGAAAACCATTACAAAGAAAACACTGAACCATTTAGCGCATTGCGTTCATATTAAGGGCTCATTTGCTTGCCTGTATAAAGCAGGCATCATCCATAAGGTGTGTAACTTGATATTTTAATATCACTGTTTTAAAGGAACTTTAAGTGTTTTCATAATACACATTTTAGAATGTCCCACTGTTTGATTGAAATATTGGGGCGGGTGCTTTATATGGATTGCACATATCTTTGTTTTATTCTTTTGAGACATGATCTAAATATTTTTGGATTGGTACAGATAGAAAATTGACAGGCTTGTTCTGCAGTTCTATGGATGTTTTGGCCGCCAGGTCTTCGAGCCAGTCACGTGACTGAAAACCAAGAATAGCAATAAGCTTTGTGTTTTTGGCACTTTTAATTTAAAACAAAGTCTCAGCTTTCAAATTCTGTCAGTTTTATAGCGAAATACAAACAATGTGTCTTACAATAATGTGGTGTGACAGATTGCCCCAGTTTAAGCACATGTGATTCAATCATCTTTTTGATTACTATGAGACATTCATTCCATTAAATTATATAATGAATGCATTCGAAGATGTGAAATATTATTTCCAAGCATACTGTCCCTGTGAGTATATGACACATGGTATCATTTCTGTTAATAATCCCTCATATATTCAAATATGTTGCCAGGCCACCCAAATTTCTCCCGGTGCTCCCAATCCGGGCCATTTGCTTGCATAATATAGACCACAAAATATTATAACTTTAATCTCATAATTGCTATGACTTAATTCTCATAATTTTGACTTGATTCTCAAAGTATTTTGACTTGATTCTTGTCATTTTGACTTTATTCTAAAAATATTTAGACTTTGTTCTTGTAATTTCGACTTTATTCTCAGAATATTTCAAAATTATTCTCGTAATTTTGACTATTTTCTCAAATTATTACAACTTTAATCTCGTAATCTTAGATTTTTTTTTATATGGCACTAAAACGTTTTCGTAATAACGCCATCGTACCGTCGTAATATATAGCATGCCAGTATATTTTTATTTTTTATTTTTTTACCCTGCCTCATGTCAACAGACAAGGTCTGGCTACATTAGTTCTTTACAGTGAACTAACAGAATGGAACTGATATTGATGACATAGGGCAAATCTATAATTCAATACCAATATTTACACAACATTTTTTATTTAAAATATTTCATTAGAGAAAGGAAACATTTTAGAAACATATAATGGAATGTTTCTTAATGAACTGGCTTTTTTTCTTCTTCTATTTTAGAATGTTAAAAATAGCTCTGGGACATCGCAACATCCACTAAAACCAAACTGTGAAATTACTTCAGCCTTATTTACATTATTTTGTTCACTTAGGGAGGGTGTGATGTTACAATCTTTTTATTGAATTTATTTAATACACGAGTTTCACAATTTGAGTTGAATTACTGAAATAAATGAACTTTTCCATGACATTCTAATTTATTGAGATGCACCTGTATATATATATATTTAAGCCAATATAAAAAGACAAATGTACTGGACAAAGTGTAACCTAAATCATTCTCTTTCTTCTGTGGCTCTCAACAAACAGCAGTTACTCTCTACGGTACCGTGAGCTCAGACATAAAGGTCATAGTCATTTATCATTGTTAACAAGGCCAATGCATGGATCTTAAAGGCAATTTTATTATGTTTCTAAATTCAAGTAGCTGGAAAGGGACTGAGCGAGACGGAGTGGGTATGATTGACAGCTGAGTGGGCGTAAATCTTCATTCTGGCCAGCAGGTGCTCGCTGCTGATTTGTTGCCTGTTAAGACTATCACAAAGATGCAGTCATGTTACATAACACCCCACCCCCAGCACAGACACTCACCTTTTCCTTTCCTGGTCATGCTAGGACTATGGCTGTATTTATAATTGGTTGTGAACAGAGTTATGGGTGTCCCAATTATTGCTGAGTTCAATCTGTGATAGTGAAAGGGAGAAAGAAAATTAAGCAGGCATATTAAAGACCTGAGGAAGATTCCAGAGGAAAGAATGTCAAATATTATAAATATGCAAAGCTTTTAAACATCAAGTGTGTTGATGAATGATGTTGGAAAATATTTATGCTTAAATATTTGTAAATGATTTAATTACAGTAGACGAAGAAGAAATTGTCAAGAAAGAAAAAATTAAGCTGGGTTTATTGGGTAAAATGTAGTTATACTGCCACTCTGTGGCAGCGAGAGTCCTAAACCCAAAAAAATCTGCATGTATTTGTACAAGAAATAAAATGATGATGACTTTATAAGTGAAATAAAAAAGCAGATAACAAATGAGGAGGAGACGACTAACCACTCGTCCCACTGTCTCACCTGTTGTCTTCATTCTCGATGATTCTCTGATAGCGCTCAAGCTCGTTCTCCAGAGAGGTCTGGTTCATGGACAGCTGTCGACACTTATCTGTGTATTTCTCCAGTAACCTCTCAGCCTCTTCAATCTTCTTCCTGAGCGTCTCGATTTGTTCGTTGTACTGCTGGATCTTGTCATCGTAGCTCTCTTGGGTGGTCTTGATGGTTTGTTCCAACACAGAGGTCTAGAAAAACAGAGACATTACATACATTACAGGTATACATTATAGATCAGTAAGATGTTGTGTGATGTTGCGTCTCTTCTGCTCACCAAGGCTGCATTTATTTGATCAGAAACACAATAAAAACAGTGAAATATTATTACCGCTTCAGACAGGTGTTTTCTATTGTAATATTGTAAAATGACATTTATTCCAGTTATCAAAGCTGAACTCTCAGCATCATTACTCCAGTCTTCAGTATCACCTGATTCTACTGGTTTGCTGCTCAAGAAACATTTATGATCATTATCAATGTGGAAAACAGTTGTGCTGCTTCAAATTGTGGAAACTGTGACACATTTTTTCAGGATTCTTTGATGTATAGGACATTCAAAAGAACAGCATTTATGATATAAATCTTTTGGAACATATTATAAATGCTTTTACTGTCACTTTTGATCAATATAATGCATGTTTGCTGAATAAAAGTATTAATTTCTTGGAGAAAAAAAAAACTTACTGACTTGCAGACCTATAAACTTTATAATGTATATATTTAACAATTTTGCAAACAGTGGACAATAGCATATAAATTGACTTTTTTTTCAGCTGTTACAGAGATAACTGTATTTAGGGTTTAGAGTTTTTATATTCAGTATACTATGGGTAATAACTGTGTACTGTCTGGCCTATGCCATTAGTACTAATATGAACTAATCTTAATGTTACATTGTAAGAACATTTTTTGGTTACTTTTGTATGCAGTTATACTGTGTTGGGTCTCCGTTAGTTTCAATCTGGGTAATGAAGCAAAAGCAGCTTATTTGCTCTCATCTATGATTGAGGTGAAAATGAAAACCAGGGTTTCAAATTCTGTCCACCGTTAATTTGGTCATTTCGGCTGTTATATCACAGGCTAGTGACATAAGCATTGCGTCTTTGTTAGGTTCACGTCATGCTCAGAACATTCTGAACTGATGGTATGGTTATTGATCTGTGTCTGAGTGTAAGAGATCACCCACCTCTGTCTGCAGCCGCTGTTTCTGCACCTGGAGCTGGCAGGTGGCGCTCTTGTACTCCTCCAGCTGACTGCGCAGCGCTGGAACGCGCCTCTGAGCGATCAGCCTGTCTTGATCCTGTGCAAGAAGAGCAGGTGAGACTGCTGAGTAGTTATGATCAAAGATCGCTTGTAATCTGATCACACTGAGGTCGAACATGTTTCACTTTGACTCTGTACACCTTTCAAATCCAGGCAATGACTTTTCATGTTTGGCTGAAGGTCAAACATGCCCGAGAGTCTTTATTAAGAGAAGACGTCCTTAAGCAAGACTTGGACTCAATTATCAATGTATTGTTTAAAAATACATTGAAAAGTACACTGCTTTTTTTTCCTAAGCAGACCCAGACTTTCACCTTTCCGGCTATGAAATGAGCAAAACAATTCCACAGACCTACGATGAAAGAGGGACCTTTTGACTTAGGCCATAAACCATAGCAGCCACACATCAACACACTAAAAACACCTTAGTAACCACATAGCAGGGCCTTGGCAACCCATTTTAAAATGTCGCCATGTATACTGTATACATTACATACATACTAATACAAGACCGTATAATTGACCGATCAGTAAGCCCCGCCCCCCTTAGTTACTGTTGCTCCCTCGAACAAACAAACAGAGTTGCACACTGTCTTAAAGTGACAGCTGTCAGTGAAAACCTTCTTCTGTGGTGTTTCTGATGAATTTGGTACACAGATGGACCTTCAAGTGGGACTTAAATATGCCATGGAGGGATATATAAAAGATATTAAAATAAATATGTAAAAATACAGATCACAATGCAAACGGGATAATTATTTTACGGTCGTCACGATCGTAATGACAACATCCCGGATCAACGCCGCTCATATACCGCAGAGTAAGATTAAATTAATTCACATTTAACCAGATTAATATGGAGAGGCACTCTAATATAGACCTTCGTTTAGGTGTTTTTGACTTTCACTGCATGGTACATGACGTGAGAACAGTTCGCTATTTAGGTTTGTACGTTCGCATGGACTCACTAACTTTAACGCTAATATTAGCTAGTTTTAACCAGATACCTTGCTGAAGCACAAGATGACATTAACGTTCTGCTTGAGCAGATGAAAAGTGTAACTTAATGAGAGTATGACAACCAGAAAATTAATTTCGTCTTCATTGAATGCTTAGGGACATTTTGCTCTGTTTTGGTTGGATTTAGAAAATAGAATAAAATAAATGACATTGCCCATCCTCTCAGGATAACTGGAATTAGTGTTACAAGTACCCTAGGCACATCGTTTTTCCATTTTTGTAGCATAAACACCATCAAACCGATGAAAGCTTCGGATCTTCCAATGTTTCTCTATGGCGCTGAAACCTAAATATGTCTGAGTTCCCCTCCCCGTGCAACTGATACTCGACTGCCATTGGCTCATCTGCGTTCGAGGGGAGGGGCTTAGCGATAGGTCAATTGCTTGGTTGCTAGCATGCTTCTGATGGTTGCTAGTACTTTACAAGGTTGCTACCAAATGTCAGTGTTTTCCCTTGAGGTGTTCCAAACTCTACAAGTTGGTGCTTTTTTAGCTAATTTGTTTTTAGCACATTTTAAGTAAATTTTGCATAGCAAACACACGTTCACTTAATTCCAGTGTATATGTTTACATCTCAACTGATGCAATTAAATTGTATTACATGTCATGTGTTGGCCATACATCTTGCTCACAAATTATATTGTATCGGCCCTTGTATTGTATTCCATATCTGCAGACCACTAATAGTGACTGCTGCAAAGTTTGCACATCCTTTTCTGAAAATATGGACAAACCCAACAAGGTTACACTGTACTTGAAGGGGTGTGCATAAGACTGACATGACACCTTCATAATCATGACATGACACAGGTCATGAATGTGAAGGTTTTTTTATGCATATTTATGACAACTGTCATTAAGTGTCATTCGCTCAGTTATGTCATTTTTAATGCAAAGATGACATTGTTTGAGATGTCTTTGTAATGGGCTATGGTTAGGGGTAAGGGTAGGGGTAGGGTTAGGTTAGGGTTAGGTCAAATAATGTCATATTTGCATTAAAAATGACATAACTGAGCGAATGACACTTAATGACAGTTGTCATAAACATGCATACAACCTCCTTCATATTCATGACATGTGTCATGTCATGATTATGAAGGTGTCATGTCAGTCTTATGCACACCCCTTCAAGTAAAGTGTTTAAGTCAAATTAAGTAAAAACACAACCCAAAAAGCAAAGCATATACATGAATGCAATGATCTTTCCTCCAGGTGTCTGTGAGGAAGAGTGTGAGAAGCCCTGCTGCTCTAGAGCGCACAAGAGCGGCGATACAGAAAGATAAAGGGTGTCATCGCTCAGGGAGACTGATCACTCAGGGCACATTCAGAGCGCCACGCTAATTTCACTGGCACCGCCGCCGCACAATTCTTATTGCATGTGACACCCAGAGAGTCAGCAAGGGCCCGAGGCGCTGTGAGCCACAAGGTCACCCTACCTCTGAGACAGACGTGCTTGCCATGAGGGGAATAGTCTGGTTGATCTGGTGCAGGATGTTTAGATACGTCTGGATTTCGGCGAGGTCCTGTGGAGGAAACAAACACAAGAGACAGGAATCAATGGAGGTGGACATGATGAGCGCCGGAGACTGTTGAAAGGTCAATTTCATTACATGGGAGACCTGCACACCAGGAGGATGCTGCCCTTGCTTCATTGCAATTGAGAAAACCCTATTTAAAATGTTGTGCCTTAATAGCTGATTATATATAGATAACTATATAAATTACATTTCATTGAAGTGTCGTCTGCAAAGTAATGATGCTAGTTCAGTGGTTCTCTCCTGACAGGATCTCAAAACCAGTTGAGAACGACTGTACTAGATCTTTCATAAAAAAGAAATTACTTCACATTTTTGAGCCGTTTAATCATCTGCAGGTGATTAATATATGAAGTCAAGTTAACCACACAGCAGAGGAACCACAGGACTAATTGTACTAATTCATGCAAATTAGCCACTAATTTGAACAAAACGTGAAGCAGCTACAAAAATAACCATGAGATTGTTGTGGAAAAACCACATGATATTCAGTGTGTACAAAAAAGATACAAAAACTGACACTGGGGTGGTACCCTATCATCATTGCTGGGCAGTAACTGATTACATGTAATCTGGATTACATAATCAGATTCTATATAGTGCTTGTAATTAGATTACATTACATTTTAAAATACTCGTAATCAGACTACAGTTACTTTTTTATTGATTATTTGATTACATATTATTCACACAATAGAAATAAATTATTCATAATTTATTGATTCTCCCTAATTCTTCTTTTCATATTTTTAATGATCCTTTCTAAAATATCCTACCACTTTTTTACATTCAGAAAGTCTTCCAGTTTTGTGGACATTCACACAAAGACCAGTCACTAGTCAGCTGGCTATAATTACACAGAAATTTGAGAGGCCACACAGCATTTGACCGCTGGAGTTACAAAAATTAAATTTTAAGAAATGTTTTCTCAACATTTCAACACTGCATCAACTACTGATGAACATATTCATTTTTAATTTTATTATCACTCAGTGGGTTATTTAACCATTGTGTCTTTGGAACGCTTTTGTCTTTCAAACACATTAAAATGAACAAATTCGTTTTTTTCTTATTTACATGTAATACAGGGATTTCTAAACTTTTTTTGTCAGCCGAACATATACTTGAACATATATTTACAGTTCTCTGTCATTAATTAATGGTCACATGGCATGCAAACAAATTAAATATTCCATCTTATTTAGCACAAGTTTTTTTTTGTTTGTTTCGTTTTCATTTGACATTTTCCTTCAATAATCCCAGTTTGGAAAACCTCGACATAATGTAATGTTTAGTGCACTTCATGTTGTTGGTAACAACGAATGGAATATATTTTTTTTCTCTTTGTGTTTTTATATTAATATATTAATGGTATCTTATTTAAACCAGTGTGATAAATGAGTTAGCTCAAGAGTAATCAACTAATCAAAAAGTAGTCCAATTATATTTCCTAAAATCTGTAATGTAATGATTATGTTACTAACTACAATTTTTGTCACGTAATTTGAAATCAGTAATGGACTACAATTTGAAAGTAATCAACCCAGCTCTGTCTGTCGTAATGTACTAATACAGTACTGCAGCGGTGGAGCCCCAAAACACTACACATTTTGCATGTCTCGTTAATCAAACTCACCTGATTCATTACATCAACTCAATAAGACTCCAAGACCAGAAATAAGTGTGTCAGAGAAAGGAGACATGCAAAATCTGTTGTGTCGCTGTGCCTCCGGAAACAGGGTTGGGAATCACTGCTTTAAGATACCAATAGGCACCCTTTAGAAGTAAATAAGGTACAAAGGTGTACCTTTTGAAACGGTGCCACCCTAGTGACAATTTTTGTACCTTTTATTCCTGAGAGTGCACAATTAAAGTTGAATATTTTGCAATGGATCTTAGTTTGAACGTTCAGATCAGAAGTAGTTGTTTTTGTTGTTGGGATATGATGCTGTAAACCGCGAATTATTAACCGAGCCAGCGCCTTTAGACTCGGTATATGCATGACTGCGTAAAAAGCATCTGTTCATGAGATGTGCTAGACATGAGCAGAAGAACAGCTTCAGTTTTCTGTCCTCTCTTTCTCGGAGGCTAACAGTACATCATTGCTATTGCAATTGATAGATCAACTGAATATTGACAACATTAACAACAACAGATCTGAATTCATCAACTGCAGAATGACAGTGCAGACAGTCCAACAGTCAGCCTACTTAAAAAAGCAAATCAGACTTGAGACTATTTTCTTTAAAGACCCCATCAAAATACAGACCATATATACTGTATGTATATATATATATATATATATATATATATATATATATATATTGTACTTCCAACTAGCATTAGCACTGCTATGTTCCACCCAAACTTCCGGTTTCAATCTGTTTGCTAAGTAGACCTTGCTACTGTTTCTGACTCTTATTTTGACGGCACCCATTCACCGCAGAGGATCCATTGGTGAGCAAGTGATGGAATGATACATTTCTCCAAATCTGATGACGAAACAAACTCATCTACATCTTGGATGACCTAAAGGGAATTTTCTGCAAATTTTCTTTTTATGTGAATTACTCCTTTAAGTGTGTCTTAAGTGTCTAAATATTATTTGGGGCCACTGGAAAGCATTATTGACAAAGATGTTGTTGTTCCTACCAAATTATGCTTTTATATTAAACAATAATAAAAGTAAGACATCAATCACTGCTAAAAATGTAAGTGCCAAAAGCAATATTTTGACTGCTGTGTCATATGTCTATGTTTGTGGTGGAGATTGTGTGTGGATGTGTTTTTGTGCTTCCGGCTGCTGTTCTAGCTTCTGAAATAATGTATACGTTGATTAGAAACTTCTGGCATTCAGATGCTGAATGTGATGTACTGCAGTGCTGATTAAACATAATGAAGGACCACACACTAGCCTGTCACTGTACAGCTCAGAAAAACACTGCTGACATCACATTTAAAAGATGATCCAGTTCTGTCCTCTGAGTGAACAAATGTAAGCTCAGCAAAAAAAAGCACACCTCTCAACAACATCCATAATACACTGGATGTCTGAGAATGGATGAGAAAATGAGGAATATGAGGATATTCAATGAGAAAAAAACATGCCGTAAAAGTTAAATAGGGCCATTTTTTACTTTATGTTGTCTCAAATTGTGCAAGGGATTTGGTGTGATCTTTCGTAAAAGTTGAATTGCTCTCCTTTCAATTTGATGTCCTATAAAAGAAGAATCCACAAGTGTATGCGTTAAAACATAATTTGTGTCAAATGCTTTTAGTAAGTGGATTTACCATGGTTTGTCATTCACTTCTGCTGCCAACTGACAATTTCGCAGAAGAGCTTTTGAGAAGCTACTCGAAAAGAAAAGTGCAAATAGGAGTTGTGGTAGCCTCCTACCTTTTTGTGCCACTCTTTGGTGGCGTTGACGTCATCTTGCAGGAACTGCAGCTGGATTTGATACTCAAGGTTTCTCAATAGAACTGTGTTGGCTTCCTGCAAACACAAGAGCAAATGGACTCATAATCGTGTTGCTGTGAGAGACTTTCTCTGGAAAAACGAACAGTGGTGGTGCATTTTCCTTTCTCAGACTGCTGTTAGCCCTGTTACATTGCACTCAAGCAGAAAAACAGGAGTGGATTTTTAAAGCAATGAAGCACTCCAGGGAATGCATTAGAGACTTTTCCCCAGGTACGGGTTGATCTTAAACCAGAAACATTCAGTATGTGACACAAATGCAAATGCCTGGCCAGCACATTTGTAAGCTTTTGGTCAAACATAAGTGGTCATGCATTTCTGATCACGCTAGAAATCCCCAAAACTCAAGGGGGTGACAGAGTTAACTTTAAATATCTGTGCTAATAAAACATGTTATTATTTGGGTAGCTACCAGTTTCACTAATACAATACTTTTCCATTACAATAATTGACCTGAAACCAACTAAATAAATAAATAAATAAACACATTTGTGCTACAAAACAAACTGTACCAACACACAGATTTAAGCTTACAATAGCTAAAAGCATTCGAATATGCAAGTACTTGCATATAGTATGTTTCTGGCCTTAGGCTTCATGCAAAAGTTGTAGCTTACAGTACAAAAGGCCTCAAGTAGCTTACAGTGTTGCATTTATAAAGAATGGCAAGTCACCTGAGTCTGTGTTATGGTGATTTTAGCACTGCTAAGGGTTTGAGGCCGTCCACCTGGTGCTGAGACTAAGAGCAGCCCTGGCCTGTGGTTATGTTACTGAAAAGCATCATCTCTTGTGGGTTATTGCTTTGTAATCGCCTGAGAAATTGCAGGTCAGAGAAAGGCACAGTTTATTTGTACCTTATTCAGCTGTTCCAGCTTGTGCCGCAGCTGCTCTTGATATTCACATTCATTTCTGTATCTGTGGACAACAGAGAGTGTTTCAAGCACAGTTCATCACGTGTGTTCATGGTTTTCATTTCAAGGCTCTTTCTATCTGTAACCTGGGCGCACTACTACATTCAATAAATCAAAACCCATGTGAGTGTTCTTCATGAAGCAGGTTTGAAACTGATGTTGAAAATGCAGCCGCTCCAGTTGTTCTGTTTAGGAGATTTTTCTAGTTGATCCAACTGTTGATATTTACTGTCATTGATGTGTCCTAAACTCTTAGTACCATTACCTACTCTATACTCAGAGACAAATGATAGGCTGTTAGGAATAGTGTAAATCCCAAACCTCAATCCTAACCATAATCCTAATATTTGGATGATGGAAATGTTTTTTTAGGACTAAAATGGTGATGCCATAACTATGACATTTCCACCATGGGATACAAATATAAATAAGGTAGTTGTGACTTTTTATCTCACGACTTTATCACAATTTGAGAAAGAGAGAGACAGACAAAATAAAAAACTGAATTGCCAGATATAAAGTCACAATTGTGAGATGTTAACTAATGATTATAACTCAATTGTGAGTTTATCTTGTGTTCAATTCAATTGAGTGAGTTGATTGAATTGTGAGTTTAGAATGCAAGAGATGTAAACTGTTAATTCTGAGAGGAAAAGTCTGAAAAAAAAAATGCAATTATTTAAAGCCCACCATCTATTTCTTGACCATCTGATGCATATTACACATACATTTTAAAGGGTTAGTTCACCCCAAAATGGAAATTCTGTCATTAATTACTCACTCTCATGGCGTTTCAAACCTGTAAGACCTTCGTTCATCTTTGGAACACGAATTAAGTTATTTTTGATGAAATGTGAGAGCTCTCAGACCCTGCATAGACAGCAACACAACTGTAATGTTCCCAGGTCCAGAAATGTAATAAGGACATCGGTAAACCAGTCCATGTGACACCAGTGGCTCAACTTCAGTTTTGCGAAGTGACAGGAATACTTTTTCAGCGGAAAGAAAACAAAAATAACAATTTATTCAACAATTCTTCTCCCCCGAGCAGGGCTGGACTGGGACAAAAAATCGACCCAGGCGGCTCACCACCATTTCTCTCTCTCTCTCTCTCTCTCTCTCTCTCTCTCTCTCTCTGTCTCTCTCTCTCTCTATATATATATATATATACATAAATATCATTGATATATATATTTACTTTACATTTAGTAATTTAGCAGACGCTTTTATCCGACTTACAAATGAGGACAATAAAAGCAGTCAAAACTAACAAAAGAGCAACAATATATAAGTGCAAATGACAAGTCTCGGTTAGCCTAACGCAGTGTAGGAAGGTATATATATAGAGAGAGATATATTATACACACACACACAAAGAAGAACAAGTAGATAGAATAGAAAAAATAGAAAGCTAGTGTTTTTTTTGTTTTGTTTTTTTAATAATAAAAAGTAGATAAATATAGATAAAGTAGAATTAAAATAGAATAGAAAGTGCTAGAGTTAGAGGGTCAAATAAAGGTGGAACAGATGTGTTTTTAGTGGTTTCTTGAAGATGGTTAAGGACTCAGCTGCTGGGATTGAGTTGGGCAGGTCATTCCACCAGGAGGGAACAGTTAATGTAAAAGTCTGTGAAAGTGATTTTGTGCCTCTTTGAGATGGCACAATAATACGCCGTTCACTTGCAGAATGCAAGCTTCTAGAGGGCACATAACTCTGGAAATAATAAACAAAAGGATACTCCTCATAGCTTTAGCCATTGCCAAGAAAACTATCTTCTTGAACTGGAAATCCCGAAACACTATTCACATAACGCATTGGAAAAATTTGCTCACAGATTACATTTCCCTAGAACATTCCTCACCTCCTTACAACTATACTTCGGAACCACAACACTCCAGATCAGACCTCCTTCAACTTTTACAAATCTGACACACTCATCCTAATAATTTATTTATTCGCATATTATTATTATACATATTTATACAAGGTTTTAATAATACTATGAGTGTATTCAATATTGTTTTCAATATTATTATTATCATTATCATTATTAATATCATAGAAACATTGAGCAGTAATAAGATGATGTTGATGGGATGATATTTTATATAAGGACGGTAATGGTTTAATGAAGATCATAACACTAAATATATATACCTAAAATATATAAATATAACTAAATCAAATCTGCACCCAACATATATCACACATGTTTTTAATGCACCGCATCCTGATTTTAATGCACCACATCAGCTTAGGCATACATACATATACATATAGTAATCTTACCGTGAATTGGAAAGGGAAAAAAAACAAAAAACAAAACATTGACAGAAGCTAGAATAGGTGTGGTATGTTTTAGGTATGTGTAATTATTACATTATTATTATTACGATTGTTATTACATTATTATTATTATTATCATTACTTTTATTATTATTGATATTACTGTTGTCGTCAACACAAGGTATTATTAGCATCACCATCTTTAGTATTATTATTATTATTATTATGCATACTAGTATTACTTGAATACTACTACTATTATTGTCAGATGGTCATCACTGTTTATTTTCATTGCTGTTATTATCATTGCTGTTCTATTGCTGTTTTTGTGTTTTGTGTTCACCGTATGTTGTATGTTTTGCACTCTTAATAAAAAAAAAGGAAAAAAAAGAGGGCACATAAGTCTGAAGTAATGAATTTAGGTAAATGGGTGCAGAGCCGGGTGGTGGTTTTGTAGGCAAATATTAATGCCTTGAATTTAATGCGAGCAGCTACTGGTAGCCAGTGCAAACTGATGAACAGAGGTGTGACGTGCGTTCTTTTTTGCTCATTAAAAATTAATCTTGCAGCGGCATTTTGGATTAATTTAAATATATATGATAGGCCTATACACTAGCAGTCAAAAGTTTTTGAACAGTAAGATTTTAATGCTTTTTAAAGATGTCTCCTCTGCCAATATTGTTTTCAATTTTAGTATTATTATCATTATTAATATCATAGAAACATTGAGCAGTAATAAGATGATGTTGATGGGATGATATTTTATATAAGGACGGTAATGGTTTAATGAAGATCATAACACTAAATATATATACCTAAAATATATAAATATAACTAAATCAAATCTGCACCCAACATATATCACACATGTTTTTAATGCACCGCATCCTGATTTTAATGCACCACATCAGCTTAGGCATACATACATATACATATAGTAATCTTACCGTGAATTGGAAAGGGAAAAAAAACAAAAAACAAAACATTGACAGAAGCTAGAATAGGTGTGGTATGTTTTAGGTATGTGTAATTATTACATTATTATTATTACGATTGTTATTACATTATTATTATTATTATCATAATCTAGATTTAAATAAAAAAAGACACGATATTGTCGGACCTGACGTTTTATTCTTATCCAAAACAACTAGATGTGATATGAGTGTGATACATACATACATACACTACCAGTCAAAAGTTTTTGAACAGTAATATTTTGTTATGTTTTTTAAAGAAGTCTTTTCTCACCAAACCTGCATTTATTTGATCCAAAATACAGCAAAAGCAGTAATATTGTGAAATATTTTTACTATTTAAAATAACTGTTTTCTATTTGAATATATTTTAAAATGTAATTTATTCCTGTGATTTCAAAGCTGAATTTTTAGCATCATTACTCAAGTCACATGATCCTTCAGAAATCATTCAAATATTCTGATTTGCTGCTAAAAAAAAAATTATAATTTTTAAATTATTTTTATTATGTTGAAAACGGCTGAGAATAATTTTTCAGATGATGAATAGAACAGCATTTATCTGAAATGGAAATCTTTTGTAGCATTGTGAATGTCTTTATCATCGCTTTTGATCAATTTAAAGCATCCTTGCTAAATAAAAGTATTAATTTCTTTCCCCCCCACAAAAAAAATTCTGCTGACTCCAAGCTTTTATTGATTTCAGATAAATGCTGAACTTTTGATCTTTCTATTCATCAAAGAATCCCGAAAAAAAATTTACTCAACTGTTTTAAATTTTGATAATAATAATAATAATAATAATAAATGTTTCTTGAACAACAAATCAGCATATTGAAATGATTTCTGAAGGATCATGTGACACTGAACACTGGAGTAGTGATGCTGAAAATTTTGCTTTGATCACAGAAATAAATAATATTTTAATATTAAATAGAAAGCAGTTGTTTTAAATAGTAAATTTTTTTTTTACAATATTACTGCTTTTGCTGTATTTTGGATCAAATAAATGCAGGTTTGGTGAGAAAAGACTTCTTTAAAAAACATAACAAAATATTACTGTTCAAAAACTTTTGACTGGTAGTGTATGTATGTATGTATCACACTCATATCACATCTAGTTGTTTTGGATAAGAATAAAACGTCAGGTCCGACAATATCGTGTCTTTTTTTATTTAAATCTAGATTTATTCGCATTGGCCCATGGAAACCTCAATGAACACGCTTGACTTGACTAAAAAAGCGCGGGGGACACATATTAGGATAGGTTAGATGCCTGCCTCCGTTGCGAGTCCCTATCAAGCACTTTACCGATTCAACTACTCTCCTCTCCTCCTCCTGCCTGGCTCTTTGGCCCACATCACTCGCAGAGCAAGCCTGTTCTTGATAATGCTGCTGTGGAAACGTGGGAAAAGCCGACGAGGAAGAAGTCGCTCCGTCTATAGCGCATTGGGATTTGATGGTTTACGCTGTCTATACAGGAGACAATCCAATGGGCCACTGGCTGCTCGCTGTCCCTGCGTGATGGTCCTTGGCAGCAAAAAACATTTTGTCGGCCCCTTAAGTGCGTCGGCCCACCGGGAAAATGCCCGGTATGCCCGATTACCAATCCAGCCTTGCCCCAAGTTACGTCTTTCAGCATTTTGGAGAGTACCCAAGAGCGTGATCGAAGTAATCAGCGTTGTTTACGTTCGGAGGAGAAAGCGTGCTCATGAACGTAATCTGTGTAATCAGCGTTGTTTATGCTTAGGGTGTGCATTTGTGTTGTGATACTCTAAAATGGCTGAAGATGTAACTCAGTGGAGAAGAATCGTTGAACAAATTATGTTATTTTTGTTTTCTTTGCGCTCAAAAAGTATTCCTGTCACTTCGCAAAACTGAAGTTGAGCCACTGGTGTCACATGGACTGTTTAACGATGTCCTTACTACGTTTCTGTCTGGGAACATTACAGTTGTGTTGCTGTCTATGCAGGGTCTGAGAGCTCTCACATTTCATCAACAATATCTTAATTTGTGTTCCGAAGATGAACAAAGGTCTTGCAGGTTTGCAACAACATGAGGGTGAGTAATTAATGACAGCATATTTATTTTTGGGTGAACTATCCCTTTAAGTGCTCTGGCTGACTGACTTTACAGAACTGCAGTTTAATTGGTCCATCTGGAAAGTTTTCTCAATGCCTGTAAGACTGAAGTTTTCCCATTGTATCATTGAGCACCTTTGAGAATGAACTAATTATAGGATTTGCCAGGTTAGTGGCATCAAATCTTAGAAATTCAGAGTTTTAAGGCAATCGGTAACATGTAAACTACCACAAGCAGAAAAGTTTTCAATGTCCGTGATATCATCTGTATTTTTGCAGCACCGTTACTTAAACAGCTTTTTGCTGTTGTCTGTTTAAAGGTATAATCTATTCCAGGTAAACCGGCCCCTAAACAGTACTTAAAACCTCTTTACATGTACATGTCATCAGACAGTCTCTTCCTGTTTGAGATGCTTGAATATTGTCTGCTGTAATTAAATGTTCTTGTGTTTAATCTGTTAGTAGCAATTAACCACAGCCTTATACTTCTGTTGCGTTTTCTAACCTGCTGTTGTACTCATCCAGCATGCGCCCTGCGTCTTTGAGCTCTCTCTCCAGCTTAGCTCGGTCTGACAGCAGTTCCCGGATGCGCTGTCTGTTGACGCTGATCTGCTCGCTGAAGGCGTCCTCCAGTCCTGATGCCTCCTCCATGCGCTGAAGAGTCTCCAGCTGTTTGCGGAACACAGCGTTGCGCTGCTCCAACACGCGTGCCCGGTTGATGTAACGAGCAAAGCGGCTGTTCAGCTCCTGTAGGCTCTCCCAGCCCTGGACGGCTGCTGTCGAGGGCCCGCTGGCCGGAGCCGACTCCATCTCTGGGCTGCTGGGCTCTTCGAAGACATCAGTGCGCTCGTACTTCTGCTTGCGCACCTCATGCCGGTAGCTGGTCTTGAACATACTGCGTGCGTGATGGTTTTCACCTCTGCAATCTTTGGCTTAGTGCTTTAGTGGCCCTCAACCTCACCTTTAGTGTGTGAAAACTAGGGTGCTCACCCTCTGCTGTCTCATGCTAGACTAAACTCTGCCCGTTTGGGCTACGGGGACAAATAGCTAAAATCTTTTAAATCTGGTGTTTCACATGATGTCTTCTATGGATTCTTCTAGTGGAGTCCTGTGCACAATGCCACCATTGTCGAGGGCTTTGCTGTGTTGAACGATCTTTTGAGATCTGCTTTTGTTTCCAGATCAGCAGCTCTGTCTGTGATCACAATGATGCGCTTCCACGGCCTTCTGTTCGACAATGGAAAAATTGCAGGTCCTGCTGTTTCAGAGCACATGAAACAACAGCAACTTCTCGACTACAGTCTGACAATTGCATACGCACTACCAATACTACTGTTAAGTGCCATGTAAATACATCCACTGATGCACCTATACTGATAAACCTTTATGTGGCTATCATGGAATATCACACTTTGTGCATGGGAATAGGATTGCAATTCTTATTAAAAAATTATTTTCTTTCAAGAAATCTGTATGTTCATACTTTACATTAGGTGGCCTTAACTGCTATGTACTAACATTAAACTGGATTCTGGAAAATTCCCACATCTGCTGCTAATGGGTTTGAGGTAGGTTTAGGAGTAACGGTAGCGTAGGGTTAGGATTATAGCGGTTACAGGGTCACTTCTAGGTTACAGTTAGGTGTAAATTGTTTGCATTAAATGTTAATTAAATGCAAGTTCTTTAAATGTAATTACAATGCACCAACATGTATGTTCATAGTAAGTATATTATATCAAATTGTTAAGACCACCTAATATAAAGTGTGACCAAAAAGTTTAGTGATTATGTGTTAATATTGATCATAAAACAGCATTCTTCAGTTCTTTTTAAGTTGTTAATATAAAATATCAATATGGTGACCAATAGAAAGTTTAAACTTTATGGAAGTTATAATCTCTTAAAGTCTGTGAAATAATGGGTAAAGGGTTATACTTAAACGTCCTTGCCCATGGTAAAATCAAGTTAAAACACAGTCTCTGTGGTTCATTGCTTTATTAAATGGCATCAACAGAAAATAAAGACATCTAGCAAAGCAAAGTTTATCAAGATTTTGTCTTGACAAAGCCTTGTCTCAATGTTTCAAAAAAGTTTGAAGGTCAGTTTGAAGACTTGAATGCCTTGATGTGGTTTGAATGCTTGGTAGGTTTGAAGAGAAGTTTCAAGCCTGAAAGCTATACAGTAAACCTTCTGTACTATGAATACTTTTGCAGTTTTAAAAGGGATTTGAAGTTTGAATGGAAGTACAGGCAGAAGATACTGAATTTGGCTGGAGTGCATTATGAAAAATAATCTATTTTATAATTTGTAGAGTAGAATTTATTTACAGAACTAAATTTATTTATGTAGTTGCAGCCTAGATGCATTGTCAGTCCATCACAGATTCACACACACTCACTCCTGCGTGCAATTCATTGTCTTACGGGCAACTTAATGCATGTCTTTGGACTGTGGGAGTAACCAGAGCACCTGAATGAATGGGTGCACAACATTGTAGTGGACAGCACATTCCAGGGCCCAGTTTATGGCAGGGCCCCTCTCTGACCACAATAGTGGACAAAGGTTTGCTACATTTTGATTGAATCTTGGTTGACTAACACAAGCAAACTGTCCAATGCCATCAGATAAAGATGCCAGGACAACAGCCAGACACCTCTTAGAGGTCAAGAAGAAGACCTTTGGTACAAAGCCCGGGAAGGACAGGACTTCTCATTGGTCAAAATGCAGTTTCTGCCCTTCACCCACCAACAGACTGATTCCTAAGGTTTTGGCCTGTGACCACCATAAAAATTCCTTAGGACCTCTGGATGCAGCAGCAGTGGGTGAAAC